CGCAGTTTGCCTTTGAACTATGCAGCATTTATCTGTCTTTCTTGTCACAACATGAATTCCTTTTGGGGGAAAGCTATTGATTTGAAGGTTAAAATAAATTCATCTTACTGGGCCCTAATATAATTTGTTGGAAGCTGGCCTTGGGAAACTTTCTGACATTTTACTACATATGCTCTTCATTGGGTATTCATAGTGCAGTGATGATTGAATGGTTGAGTTCTTTACTTCTATCATCATTATTAAACATGGCATTTTTTAACACATTGTACCTTGTGAGTTCTTTATAGCTTCAGAGCTGAGCTTTACATTAGCAATCTATAGTCTACTGAATTAAGCAGATGTGCTCTTCTACAGAGGAAAAACAATACCTAGTTATTTGTGCTCTAGTAGGGTGTGTACAAATACTAATACAAATCCTCTGCTAGTAAGCCGAGATTTCTCTTTACTAGACATTTTTAAAAATGTCTATATTGTTCCTGTCAATACAGCTAACTGGGAAGTACTGAACAAGCTTCAGGACAAGGCCATAGGGAAATCACTGAGGTTTTGCCAAAAAGCTTGTGTTAAAGACCTGCTGGGGAAGTAATTCAACAGAATTTAACTGTGATCCAAAAACTAGATTAAGGACAGTCGTAAAATCCAGGGCCACCTGTCTCCAGTTCAAATTGGAGTTGGAGAAAAGGGAAGGACTTTGCATTTCTACTCTGGGAAAGTGTACAGTGCCATTATTTTGATCTCATAATACCACAGGATGCATTCTCATAGGATTTCAAACATCAAATCCGTTGAGAATGCTTTCTCTTAAAAAGCTTTTATCGAATTAATCTAACAATGTCTGTTTCGGCCCAGACCAAGGGCAAGGAATAGCAGAGAGCCCAGCTGACTCCGCATACCCCTCCTCCCCCCAAAAAAAACCTTGAGTAAAACTAGCTGTGTTCTTATCTCCTGGAACACAAAGGAATGTCAATGGTTCTACAGTGTTTTCATTAAAATCACCAAGAGATTCTTATTGGCTGTAGGATCCTTCAATAGTTATTTCTCGGATATATGCATGGCAAATACTGACAATATAAGGAGCTCAAATACACTAAAAATCCAGAAATTACCTCCTTTGCAACATTAAGTAGAGTGACTACATTTCCCTATGCTGAATATGGGACACTTGGTAAAATTACTTGTATTCAGGTGAGTTCAATGGCAATCAATCAGAACTATGCAGTGCAAATGTTCAAATTAACATCAATTTGACTGAGCCCCTGTTAAACATAAATACTGCATAGCTGGGGTCTTTCTATTTACCTTCTTACCTTTAAGGTGTTCGGGTTCACAGCAGGAGAGGGACCCCCCCCTGTACCTGCACACCTTTCTCACACAGAGGGTTACCAACCAACCTGACCCTCCCTGGCTAGCGAGCTCCACCCTCCTTGCCTGGCTGGGCCCCAGGACAGATCCATCTCTCCTGGTTGCTGGAGCCTACGCAATAACAGGGGGCATGCAGGCTCACTGGAAAGGGAATGCACTCTCCAGGGGTTGGATATGGAGGAGGAGCGGGGCTGTGGAGCATGAAGCAGCGAGAGGCAGCAAGAGGGGGAGCACGTAAAGGATTGATGGATGGGCAGCAGAAGCAACAAGTAACTAGCAGACATCTGGCACGTGCTCACACTCACCAGGCATTGCTGCTTGCTGCATGAATTCTGTGCCAGCTGGAAATGGGATGTGGGGGCAGGGCCCTGCTGGCTGAGAGCTAGGCCCTGTTGGCTAGGATGGGTTGGGGCTAGGAAGTACATATTACATAATGTGGATGAGATTGGTACAGAGATAACATGTAATTGAGAAATAAATGGTTTGGGGGAAAATATTATTTAGGGAGGGAAGGGAACTCATTCTGTGGCCTTCATGACACACCCGTGATATTACCATCACTTTCCCTGCCTTTGCATACAATTTGGGCCCATGTGCCTCTGTGATATACCACTTGCACATCTCACTGTTTGCTTTGGTTGCTGCCTTCCTATTGAAATTCACAGTGCAAGTGAAAGGCTTGATTTAGGAAGCCTCAAATGCCCTTGAAACAGAGCAGCAGAAGAGAGGAAAGCGAGTGGAGAGCACAGTGATGGCACAGAGAGCCACAGGGAGTGGGAAACAGGATGAATGAAAGGCAGAGGTATATACCACTTGCACATCTCACTGTTTGCTTTGGTTGCTGCCTTCCTATTGAAATTCACAGTGCAAGTGAAAGGCTTGATTTAGGAAGCCTCAAATGCCCTTGAAACAGAGCAGCAGAAGAGAGGAAAGCGAGTGGAGAGCACAGTGATGGCACAGAGAGCCACAGGGAGTGGGAAACAGGATGAATGAAAGGCAGAGGTGAAAGGAAGCGGGTGCGCCCAGATGCACAGCTCTGGCAGGAGCTGGCTGAGCTGCAGCAAAAGCCAGCAGGGAGCTATTTAAAGAGCTGGCAGGGACCCAGGTTGCAATAGGACAGGACCTGTAAAAAAATGTTAAGTTACTTTCACTGCTGATGAAAGGTCCGGGGTTACAAAATGATGAAGAGGCAAAGTAGGAGGAGGGAAGAGAAAACAGACAAGGGAGCTGGATAAAACCCTGGTTTCAATAAAAGGGGCCTGGACACTCAGGCTGTCTCTCAAAAATGGGGATCACAATACACTGGGGCAGCTGATAACTTAATTTTTCTATGCACACTTCAATGAAGAAAGTGTCTTGTGTATTGCTGCAAAAATGATCTGTAATGAAAGACTCAGTTGTAATACATGCCTTCTGAGAGGCAGAGTTAAGATTGTTGCTTGCACTGTAATTCTGACGCTTCCAACTTTTGCGTGATTCGCTTCTCAGAGGTAACGTGGCATTGACACTGCAATTTACACATCAGGGGGTGGTTTATTTGGCTTTTGTTTATGAGTGGTTAAACAATGCCCAGGCCTCATAAAACCTTTTTTGCTAATGATTCTTCCTTCCTGCATCACAAACTTAAAATTAAAGCAGAGTAATGCAAAACCAAACAAAACCCACAACTCATTTTTCTAGTACCGAGGGTCATAACCAATTCCGGGACTCGTAGAAAGATTCTCACAGATTCCAAGAGCAAAGGAATCAGGCCCTCAGTGCTCCAACATGCTAAGCTACAACTATCATGGGGGCCTTGGATTTACTAAATATTTTGAACCACCCTGATATTAATTATTCAGAAAATGACAACATCTTAAAGACTGCTTCAGATAATGGACTGATCTTTTTATTAGTCACAGTGAAGAAGTTTCAGGCTCACTGATGCCGGGGGGAGAGGGGGCGGAAGGAAACGCAGTTGCCTGTGGACCCCGCAATACAAAAGGGCCTGGCGCTCCTGGCTGCTGCCGCCGCTACTGCAACAACAGCAACAGCCAGAGCCCCGGGCCCTTTAAAGTGCTGCCAGAGCACCATGTGGTGCACTGAGAGCTGGGGATGGGGAAGGGGGCGGGGAGAGGCACACTCTCCCAGCGGTACTAAGGGCTGCCTAGCCCCAGCCCTGCTCCTTCTGCTTAAAGCCCCACCCCTTCCAGGCTCACGGAGCAGGGCACCCCATCGCTTTCCTAGGGACCCAGTGAGGCTGTCAGCTGTGCTGAGGAGTTTACTGTAAAATAATAAGAATTAGCACTTACAGAGAGAGGGCTTTCCATGAAAGACTCTCAATATACTGGCAAAGCTTTAATTTCACCTCATAAAATCTCTAAACATTGGTATGTCTGTTTTACCGATAATGAGAGTAAGGTGCAGAGAGATTAAGGGCTAACTGTGTAGCACTGAATGTATGCAGCCGCATATATATATGTGTGCAAACATGCAATGTATCCATGCAAGTCAGATTTTTACAAGCCCATGTAGCTCATTAGGCTTTGAACTAGCACACACATATAAAAATACCTGACTTGCACGTGTACATTGGCATTGCATACATAATCGGATATGTACAAATGTAAACTCAAAGTAATAATCCTCTAATTTTGACAACCTTTCCCTAAAAAAAAATTGCCAGCCTGAAACTTACATTTTCTGACCCCCAAAGCCTATGTCTTGACCGCAAGATCATCCTACTTTCTTGTTAGGTGACAAATGAAAAGGATCACAGAAAAACTCGCACAGCAAAGAAGTGCATTGGAATAAGGAAAATGGGTATTACACATAGTACTCCTAAAAGCTCAACCTTTTTCTCCTAGGGTATGTCTAGACTACATGCCTCTGTCGCCAGAGCCATGTAGATTAGTTTACTAGACATACCCAAATGAAGCGGCGATTTAAATAATCGCTGATTCATTTAAATTAAAATGGCTGCTGTGCTGAGCCGATCAGCTGTTTGTCGGCTTAGCGCGCTAGTCTGGATGCTCTGCGGTCAACATCAAAGGCATTTGTTGACTGCCCCGTTATGCCTTGTGGGATAAGGTTTACCGGGGCGGTCGACAAATGCCTTTGATGTCGACCGCGAAGCGTCCAAACTAATGCGCTGAGCTGACAAACAGCTGATCAGGCTGGTGAGCACTTATCTCATCTGAGCACTTCCAGAGCCTCCCAACGAGAAGCCTGTTGTCTTCACTGGGACTTCTTGTGTGAGCTAATGCTTAGCAGGCTGAGGAAGGGCTCCACAAGCTGGTATTGAATAAATAAAGTTTACTTGTATGAATAAGGATTCAGGATCAGGATCCTTTATGCTACTCTCATTGCAATGTGCATAGCATTCATCAACCCTTTTTCTTATTTTCTATAAAACCGGTGTTTTACTCTTTTGCTTTGCAGCCCTCATGCTGACACGATTCTCGCTTCTATACCCAAAGGCAAAGCAATGCTGTTTTCATAAGCTTACCTCCTTCCCCCTAAATAAAAACATCACCTCCTTTTCCAAGAAAACAATTCAAATTAACCAATAACCCCCTACAAGTAGAACATTGTGGTGATGCAGAACAAGTATTGATTCAAACAAAAGGGTTTTTTTTATAAACAGCCTTAATTCTTACCAACTCCAGTCGTTATTGATTCTGCATCAATGTCGTTAGCCTTTTTCTTTGCCACTTCAGCTAGTGCCAATTCACCCTTATCTACCGCAAGGTAATGGATGTCCTTTGGAAATAAAGCAAAATAAAAGATTAATCTAAAATGAATCAGACAAGTAACAAAAGAGATTTTGAAAGAAAGAGACTCTTTTCTTGCTTAGATCACCAACACAAATGGAACAGACGAACCTACTGTTATATTTTAATTTTCTTTACTCATGTTGTTGAAAGCAAGGTCTCCAGTTAATAATACATAAAAAACTGATCATCCTTGAACAGATAAAAGTGAGCCTGACAACGCTGCATGAATAACTGAAACTTTAGCTGGATGCTTCCGAGTCTTTGGTGCAGCTGGCCCTAGCTGCTGCAACATGAACCGAACAGCGATTGGATGGCAGGCGGTGTGGCCACATTGTGTACATCTAACCAAAAGCGTGGGACATCTCTTGAGCTAATGCTAATGTCTGGAGTGTGATGGAGTTTTTTCATTTGGTATGAGAGTTTTCAGATAAAGCTCTGATTGTTCTGTTGCACTATAAATTCTTTGAGATGTGGATTCTCACTGCAATGATTTTGGAGATACTGAGATTAATAGTGCTCAATGACTTGAACATTTTAATAGATAGGGAGACTTCCATGTCCGCTCAGGGTTTCATGGCCACTATGATACTCATATGTTTAATTGCAGAGTACTGGAGACTCAATTCATGGATCAGAGAGCTTTCTAATTTCCCCATGTCATGGGTCCTTCTTTGCCTGCTGTAATTCGAGGTCAGTGTTTATCTCTCCTCAAGGGAGAGAGAGATCTGTTTTGATGGTCTAACCTTTGAGGGTAGTGCCTTTACGACAGAGATGTGCACCACCAGCCTGGCAGTTTTGCTCACTACAGTAAATGAAGGGTACTTCCTTGTAACTGAGGATCTACAAGGTGGAAGCTACCTATTTACACTCATGGGATACGCCAACCAGTGCTGCTCGGATGATGCAGGTTAGTTAGCCATGCCCACACTGGAGGATTTACATGCTCCTTCTTGTTCCTATCCTCACGATTCCAGAGTGTTTAAGAGAAAAATGGCACTCGCATTGCCTCAGCTCCTTTCACTGCCTCGTTAAGTACGTGTTGTGAATAGGACTCCAAGGAAGAGAGGAAGATGGGTGGGGAGTGTGAACATAGAATCATAGAATACTAGGACTGGAAGGGACCTCGAGAGGTCATCGAGTCCAGTCCCCTGCCCTCATGGCAGGACCCAGTACTGTCTAGACCATCCCTGATAGATATTTATCTAACCTGCTCTTAGATGGAGATTCTACAACCTCCCTAGGCAATTTATTCCAGTGTTTCACCACCCTAACAGTTAGGAACTTTTTTCTAATGTCCAAACTAAACCTCCCTTGCTGCAGTTTAAGTCCATTGCTTCTTGTTCTACTTTCAGAGGACAGGAAAAACAATTTTTCTCCCTCCTGCTTGTGACACTCTTTTAGGTACCTGAAAACCACTATCATGTCCCCTCTCAATCTTCTCTTTTCCAAACTAAACAAGCCCAATTCTTTCAGTCTTCCTTCATAGGTCATGTTCTCTAGACCTTTAATCATTCTTGTTGCTCTTCTCTGGACCTTCTCCATGCAGAGTCCATCTTGAAAAATGTCTGTTACAAGTAAGTAACCACAGAGTGGCTTCTGCACATTCCCACTTATAGGCCAGACTTATAGGCTAGGTGTTCTAATTAAAATGTAACTGTAGGACTACATTGCCAAATTGAGCATCTGACCTAGAGGCTAGATCCAAGGCATGCTGCTTTGTGAAAAGTATGGATGAAATTCCAAGTGGCAGCTTTCCAAAGATCTATAATTGGCATAAGTCTAAGATATGCGGAAGATGCCACCTTAATCCTAGCAAAGTGAAACTAAATTCCCTGGGGAACAGGTATTGAAGCCAAAAAAGTATGTCTCCTGAATGAAAGAAGAGTCTAATCCAGTGGTTACCAACCAGTAGATCAGGATCTACAGGTAGATCTTGGAGCCTATGACAGGTGATCCTGACAGGTTTGGCTGGGAGACTATCAAGTGTCGGCACTTCATTTGCCTGTCTAAGCACTGTCGTGCTGTTCCTGCTCCTCTGCCTTGGAGCTGCCTCCCAGCTGTGCAGGGCACAGGAAGAAGAGGAGGTGGTGCTGATGTCAGGGTGCCCCTCCCTCCACTCTGTCTCCCATCTCCACGGGGGAAGAGGGAAGGGGAAGGGATGGAGAGAGTTTGCTGGCTGCTTTTTGGAGTGGTGCAGGGCCAGAGTAGGCATGAGTCTGCTTTAGTCCCCTGCACCATCACCCAGAAACCATCTGTGGTAAGCATTGCCCAGCTGGAGCCTGCATTCTGAACCCTAGCCCCAGTCCTGAACCCCTCCTGCACCCCAAATCACTGCCCTATCCCTGAGTCCCCCTGCACCCAAAATCCCTCCCACAGCCTACACCCTGAACCCCCTCCAGCACTTCAACTTCCTGCCCCAGGCTCAGCTCAGAATCCTCTCACACTCCAAGACCTTTAGCCCAAGATCAGAGTCCTCATCCTCTCCCCCTCTGCCCCAGCCTGATAAAAGTGACTGAGGATGGGGAGGATGGAGTGAGGAGGAGCAGGGGCGCGGCCTTGGAGAAGGTGTGGGCAAGAGTATTTGGGTTTCAGGTGGATCCTGGATTGTATTTAAATTGAATAAGTGATCTCATGCTTAAAAAGGTTGGAGACCACTGGTCCAATCCATCTATACAACAATTGTCAAGAAAGAAGTTGTGAATTTTTATTTTCTGCTCAGGAAAATAGGAGAACATCTACAGTTCTCTGTCCTATCTAAAGAGTAAGCCAAAGCACTGTTTACTTCTAAATCATTTTAGTAATATGTGCGGCATGGCTTTCAGCCCTATGGAAAACAGAGTTGGTTTTTTGGGGGGAGCGGGGGGAAAACTGAAAGATTGAAAGATGAAATAAAGAACATTCTCCCAGAGGTTCATAAGGTTGTTTTATTAATTATGTGAGAACCAAGTTAAGATCCCATAGTGGAGGGAGACCCTTCAGAAGAGATGGATAAGTAAATCTATTTACTGACTCATGTGTGACAACTGACTTATTGTTAACCAGTGTAAAAACTAGTATATTTGATAAACAGGATAAAGCCAGAGTAGGAATTCTGAGATTAAGTACACTTTGGACTGGGACTTATGAAGGACGTATGCTATTTTCAACTGCCCACATACAAAACACATTTTAACACATACCATTTTTAGTAGCTTCTTTCCTATAATTAAATAAAATAGTTTGTATGTCAGCTGAACATGAAAGTTTGACATTATTAGAAATGTATTGCCCATGCAGTCAGCTAGAGCAGTGGTGCATAACCCTTTGGGGTTGCGGCTATTTTCCCGGCTCGGTGCCCGACGTACGTGCAGCTGGGGGGGAGTGGCAGAGGCCGCAACAAAATGACCGGAACTTTTTTTTTTGCTCAACAAAAATTTTTCTGGCCCTGAGGGTTGCTAATTAAAAAAGGATGAGCACCACTGAGCTAGAGAGATCTAGGGTCTGGGTGACAGACTCAACTGCTCTGACAGGTCAATAAATCTAGACAGGAAGGGTCTTGAAGATCACTGTCAACAGGTAGAGAAGGACTGGGAACCCTTGTTGCCTGGCACAAGGTAGGGTGATATAATACTGCTGTTGTCCTGTTTTATCTTGTGTATAACTTTCTGCCAGGGAGGAAAAGTAGCCAAGCACCCAAAATTTCACAGCAGGAGAAATGCATATGAGATCAAATGACAGTCTATCCCAACTCTCAAACCAAAGATCTGACACCTCATATTTATTTGGTGCTAATAAGTCTATGGTGAGGTATTCCCACTGGGCAGAGATTCCCTGTGCTACTGATGTCATCAGGGAAGATTCTTGTGTATCCACATTGACCCTGCTTAGCTGATGTACTAAGTCATTGTTCTTTCCTGCAAATAGAGTGCTATCAGAATGAGTAATGTGCCATTTCGATAATAGAACTTCCCTGGAGAGCCAGGGAGAGTGGGTTCCTCCCTGCTTATTTATACAATAAACTGTGATGGTATTGTCTGTGGCCACCTGAAGAATCTTGCGTTGAATGTGAAGCCTTTAACGCCCAATGAATTTGAGGTTTTTGTGGACTCTTGTCTTTGGAGTCAATGACTTCTAGCGCTGAAGGTGTGTCAGTGAGCTCCCATTCTACACTGGATGTATTCAGAGTGACAGTCCCTGGTGGAGCTGGCAGGATGAACTGTACTCCCTTGAGCACATGTTGAGGTTAAGCATTTTTGTCGGAATGATTAGTGTTTGATATATGCTGTTTATGCTATATCTGTAGTTGGCAAACAGCCAGCACTGAAGGGTTCTCATCTGTAGATAAGCACATGGAGTGACATAGGTTGCTGAAATTAGAAGACCTAGTATTAACAGGTAAAATATTATTGCCTGAGATGATTGAGACCTTAGACTATGTATAGCAGTTGGGATGTTTCAAATTGAAATATTTCTTGAGGAAGAAGAGCCCTGTTTAATTGATGAAGGGTACTGATTTAATGTATTCTAGAACAGATTTCTTTTGATTTATCAAGAACCTCAGATTTTCAAAAAGGATACAAGTATGAGAAATGGCTTTGCAAAAAATGTTTTTCTATGTTTTTTTTTAATTAGGCAAAGGCACAAGTAACGATAAACTTGTATCCCTTTCCTTCTCAAGTAAGCTACTGAAAGGCAATCTGAATGTCCCGAAGGTGGTAGACAGGCCAAAGGGAAGGACTTTGCATTGACAATGGTTGCTTCCTTCTGTAAAACTGAGGTATTTGTGATAGAATTTCTTGATGATGGCATTTAGTTTCCTTAGACCTATGACTGATCAGAGACAACCATCATTCTGGAAATCAAGAAGAATCTTGAATAGAATCCTTTCCTTCTGAATTCCATTTGGACTTCTTCTACCACTCCTGTTTTGAGAAGAGCCAGACTCTTTGATTTTACAGGCTCTTGTGAGAGGGGTCCATGAATAAGGACAGGAATGGGGGATTGAAG